CTGTATTTATACATTTCTTTATGACCCGGTTTTCAATGTTTCTGTCGTCATGACAGCCTTCACAAACCGACGACATCCCTCTGATTACCCAAGTGGCTGTCACAAAAAGGCTGTCACGAGACATTATATACAATTATTGATATACGGCAAAGCAGACAATTTATGATCGACGTCGGCCAAAGGTCGGGTCAGTTATGTGTTTATGTCGGGTCAATGTCGGGTCAACATCGGGTTGGCTGCTCAAGACCGTGCGTTTTTAAAAATTATCGGATGAAAATTTTGCAATGGGCTGCACTAAAGTGATAGCAACCGAACGAGTTTCGGTGTCACACTGGTAGTGTAGTAGCAGTCTGACGACATACGAATAAAATTTCAAACACAGTAGCAATGAAACGACAGTTTGACGGACTGCTTGTTGTATGTACTGGCTGTCGTAGGAAAAAGAAAGCGACAGCCGTTGAAATACTGTCATGAGGCGGTACTTTTGGTATGCCTGCCTATGGATCTAATATTGGGCCCATCGCTAAAAATCTGATATTTATCAATTTTATCTAGATGAACGCGTCATTGGGATGGTACTAATGGATATTTATGGTCGCTATTGAAAATGTAGTCGATTGCTGAATTTAGTATGGGTCCAAATTAGGGGCATTTAGGCCGACATTACATCCATTTCCCCTATATGTATATGTATTTAAATAAAATGTGTTGCCTGATTCAAATCCAAATATCTCAAATAGGGGAAATGGATGTAATGTCGGCCTAAATGCCCCTAATTTGGGCCCATACATAAATTCAGCAATCGACTAAATTTTCAATAGCGACCATAAATATCCATTAGTACCGACCCAATGACGCGTTCATCAAAATAAAATTGATAACTAGCAGATTTTTAGCGATGAGCTCAATCTATCAATATATAAAGTAACCCGTTAGAAATAACTTCGTCAAGATACATCATATGTCAATTCATGAAAAACTAACTGGATAACTGTTCAAAAGACAGTTTTAACGTGTGAAATCCAGTGTCTTTTAAATTCTGTAAGTGTTGCCGAACGTTTGATATGTCTAGGCATCGAATTGAAAACATTTATTGCTTTATAATATAATGAATTTTGTGAAGCACAAGTCAAGAAATGTGGTGTTCTTATTTCAACCGCGTTTCTAGTATTATATCTATGAAAGTCACTTCCTCTTTCAATTCGATCACACAAATATCGAGGCAGCAAACCGTTAACTACTTTAAAAACTGTACACCATAGTCCAATATACAATTCTTTGCTTCATCGATAACCATTGTAAGGTGTCTAGCATCAAAGCTGAGGAAGTGAATCTATTACATCTCAATATCAAACGCATTATTTTACTGTACAAGCACTGTAATCTCGATATTTGTGTTTCATTGGCCAGAAATAAAATGAAAGGGCAAAATACTAGATGAGGAGGGATGATTGATTTGTATAGCTGTTTAGTTAAATCCTTTTTCAGTCGACATAGAATTCCATACTTCTTGGTAATTTTCTTAATGCCATTGTCAATGTAAGAGTTGAACTTAAGATTGTCATCGATAATCACGCCAAGATATTTAATCTCCCGAACGCGATCAAAAGTCTCATTTTCAATTACAACAGAGACGTTCTCATTTACTCGATTCCGCGAAATTACCATAAATCAAGTTTTACTTGTATTCAATTTCAACTGCATATACTTCAACCATCTACTTAGAGAACGCAAATCTTCATTCAAGTGTAAAACGGCATCATCTAAATCTTTGGCTACAATGAATAACACAGTATCATCTGCCAAAAGATTAATATCGCAAAATCGTAAAACACGTCGCAAGTCATTAATATACATAATAAATACCAAATTCAACGCGCTTTCATCAGAATGACCTTCCCGATATCCCGATTGTTCTGGTATCAACAAACTATTACTATTTAAATACTCCAACAGCTGGCCTTTAACAACAAGTTCTAAAATTTTCTCTAGTGTGTGCAACATGTTGATGGGACGAAACTCGTTCCAGAAACTTTTTGAATAGGGACCACTAAGGATTCCTTCCAAATTTGTGGCACATGTCCAGTTTGTAATGATTCATTAATAAGGTCCAGCAAGATGTGGCCAATGACATGAAAGCAATCTTGAACAACTCTAGCATTAACATTATCTACTCCAGCCGATTTTCCTAATGAAAAATCAAATCTAAAACTACTATTAACTGACTGTTTTATTTCGTCAGGTTGATCGACCAATTCAATGGAGTGATTAATCAATGAAATACTGTCGACACAATAATCATTAAACTTAGATGCAATTACTTGTTCTGACTGTTCTAATGTGTCATTAAAAGCTATGGACCGCGGTTTGCAATTACTAGATTTAATTTTTTTCATAACTCTTTGCTATTGTATTGATGCTGATCAATCTTCTTTTGTACTTATTCACAACGAGTTTTCTTTATCGATTGTGAATACTTATTACGCGCGATTGGGTACCTAGTCCAATGATTGTCATTATTTGATCTACAAAACTTTTTGTACCATTTGTCCGTTTTCTGTTTAAGACGCAAAAATTGTACCAGCTGTTCGAGTTTTTCAAAGAAACAAACTGTTACTCAACTAGTTGATTGGTACACGTTTCAAAGCGTTATTAAGAACAGCTGTAGATTCATCTAACTTACCGGCCCTGAATGGAAAATCCACGCTCCTCTCAGCAAGATTCCAAACAGCCTGTTTCGAATATTTCCTCCAGTCCTTCAATTTTACAAAATTATCGTTATCGTTAACACAGTTTAAGGCCTTTATCACTTAGGTCTCATGTTCGGTTATTTTTAAATCAGTTTCCGTAACTGAACAAATGGAATCAAAATTGGAATAAACGTGGTCAATTAAAATTCTACTGTGCATGGAAATATGCGTATAGGGTTTTTGATCTAATTTCCGTCCTACTAAGCACAACCCGCGCTTTACCACTCTTTTCTGAACGAGTTTAAACAAAAAATGGAATGTTTCTGTCAAAGATGGCTTGCAAATTTATTCACCTTTCCATACGTACCGTTGGATTTGATAAAGAGTCACAAATTGTTGAGATATTGTCTAAAATCTAACACTGCTTCTTGATTCTAAATTCGTTCTACGAGTTTTAATTCCGTCCTAACGCATTGAAACGCCATTAGATTTTCTTCGTCCTACGGATAAACGTAGAAAAAGGGGATTCGCTAGGAGCGCTTCTTTTGTTTTGAGAACAATGAGCGTAAATATTCATACAATGCGCTCTAACAGGATTTATGTTGTAGCTAATGAACTAACGCATCGGAGCAAACCTATTATTGATTTGTGCACGGGGAAATTATTGATATTATTGATCTTTTCTGATCGATAGAACGGAAATGGGCGATTACGACGAAGTAGCGCTCTACCCTACTCATTTACCGTTTGCTTTAAAATAAGAAACTCCGCTAAACGCTTCGAATGATTCGAATTATGGTTATCACGCCAATTAATATTAAAATCACCAGCCAATATATTTAATTAACTAGAATCAAGGAATGTTTCGAGCAAGTTCTCTAAAAAATCAACAAAACGCTGGTAACTATAACTGGGAGAATGATACAAAACACCATAATTACCCATCTTCATTCCACGTACAACTGTAACGCCCAAGAACCAGTTGCCATCAATAACTTCGTTGGTACGAAGGTTGAATTGAACTGATTTTTTGACATAAACAAGCAGCAATTCCTGCAATTCCCATTACTTGAATCGGGGATTCCTGTATTATTTTCTTACAGCAAAAGCAAAAAAGCAAGTACGAGAACAAACCTAAAGTTATACACATTTAGAAATTATCGCTGAATCTGAACAGCTGAAGTTTTTGGTAAAATTTATGCAATTCATTTCAATTGCTTTTCAGCTACTTTGAAACTAAATTTCCACTAAAATGACAAGATTTGATCATTTAAACAAGGTTGAACATGTTTTGATATTATTTTCAAATTCAATAGCCTTTAAAATGAAGGTCAAAGTTTTACCGAACGTTCAGCTGTTCAGATTTCGGTAAAATTCATCGAACACGGAAACAAAACTTTAGTGTGTAGGAAACTGAATAACAAATAAACAACAAAATAACAAAAAAAACAAAGTACATTTTTAAGACTTTTAAACTTATGTATAAGCTTTCAACTTATCAAAAATGCTAGACACAATGGATACTTCAAACATCGTTGAACATAAAATTTTAGCAAACATTTATTTTCACGCATTGTTTGTGTGATTGGTGCATACAAAACGATTTTCTGATATAAGACGTGGTTGAAATTCATAAGTGGTTCTTATAGAATTCTTACGTTCATTTGCCTCAGTGTACTATTATAAGTGTTCAGTCCGTTCAGTCCGTTCAGTCTGTACAACCAGTCTTGAAGACGGCGTCAATTGTTTTTTTTTAATACAATCACTGCTTCCGAAATCAAGAGAACTTTCCCTCTCAAAAACGTCCAGGCAAACTAAATCAACCGGTTGGATCTATCACTCATCACAATAATCACGTTGCCGATCTAGTTTAACTGCAGGGCTGATTTATTTTCTCAATCTAGATTAGATTACTTCTGGGTTGTTCCTAATCTAAATATCTACATCATCCGGTAATTGACATACCGTGTCACCTTAATTAACGAGCAAGTCATTTGAATAGTGCTCGTTTGCCGATAGCATCCGTAATGAGATCAAATTGGGTTCCGAAATCTCAAACATTCTTATCTTGCGCTGAAAATAGTGATGATTAAATCATCGCGGTCCTCATCTGCATTCGAATAGGATGAATCACCAATCGCAGCTGTGTACCAGTTCTAACCGATGAAACGACTACGACGACAACAACGAAAAAGAAAGAGAAGCGTTGTATGGTAAAATAAGGATCCGATGAACTCTTGCACACTTTCTGAGAGTAAAACATTTCATATTAATTCCCACAAAAAACAACAATCTCCAATTTAATTCTAGATCGACAGCCGAAGAGAAGCCGGGAACCATCAACCGAGCAACAAGAGCCAAAATGACCAAGAACGAAGCCGATGAACCCGACGAGCAGGCAAAAACCGGAAGAACGAGACGTGAGCAGCATTCTCCGTGCTCTGATATTGGTGTTTGTGTGCATTGTTGGTGTAAGTGAGGGGAAAAGTGGTGGAAGATGGCGGGCGCGCGCGCCTGTGCTCTCTTTCTCTGTTCCGGCCAGAATTTTTTCCGTTTCTGTTGTTCCAAGAACCGTCGCTGCAGGGTGACACGGTTTACCCGGCTTTGTCCCCGCGCGCGCCCCTAGAAGAAATTTCTGTATGAATAATAAGACGACTACAGGACGGCGGCAAATGATGATGATGAAAACGTAAAACATGTGTGTTATCAATCTGGAAGCCAGCTGTTTACTATGTGGTATGATGGAGTTCGCCGAGGGAGCCGAATTCGTGCGTCGAGGGAGAGACGAACAACCGACAAAGAAATTGAGAACGCAATCACACACACACACACACATGCACATGCACGCGGTAGCGTGTGCAAGAAAAGTCAAGTAAGAACTTTTTAGCGCTCTGATAACGAGTTTGATAGTGGGGAAATTTTGGATTTCTCAATCCCTTAATTAATATTGACATACGGAGAACCCAGAAAAAAAAAACACGTGAACACATGAGAGATTATGACAGATTTTTTTTAAGGTAGACGGTGAAAATAACACACACACACACACAAACAGCTTTTTTATACATATTATTAAAAATTAGTAAAGGCCAACGATGGTGGGACGCGAAGTCGCGTCCCGATTGGTCTGGGGTGTTTGAATGAAAGCGACTCATTATTAGCTATTGATTAATGCAAATCGATTTGACTTCTTTACGACTGAACAATTGTTATTGCAAGTGGATAAGTAAGGGTTAGTATTGTGAATTACGATTGAGTTTTAAATGTAAGCACTCACACACTCTCTCTATTTGGACGATGCCTGAATTATTATCCTAGTCAGGACCGTCCGGTTTGTATATGTTTATGCATACTTATTAACTAGACCGAGAGGAACAAGGAGGAACAGCGTGTTTTTATTACTATTATCAGGGTATATGTTCGTTCACAATTGACTAGATTACAAGCAGAAACACAGAAACGTACATTCATTAAAGGTTAGTAAGAAACACACACACATCCATGCATACGCGGACGCGTGTTAGTTAAGTCGAGATTATTCGATTTTCATTTCGCTAGTGAGAAGATGTTTTTATTCAGTGCTTCAATATTATAGTTTTTCGATACAATAAGACTTGGAAATGTCAACTGTCGATCGTACCGGTTGCAAATTTACGCGACTCAGATTCGTTATAAATGGAAATTACCGCTCGAGAAGCGGAAAATTACCACAGGTAACGACCCTGGCGAAGGCCAACCGAAACGTCGGTAGGTCGATCGGTCCAATGCGTCGTTGGGTCGGTGCGATTCATAACTGACATTTCCCCCCCAAACTTGAATCTATATGAATCTAAGTCGTCGCCGGCCGGGTAGCTCGCAGACCCGGCGGTGAACCATGGAAAACGAATGTTTCTATTACTTTATGTTGATATATGTAGGTATATCATCTCCGTGTAGGGTTAAGGTCAAGCGTAAACGAGAAATGAAAAATAATCTATTACTTAAAAATTGGCAACAACAGCAAAAATTCCCGCGCGAATCATTGGAGCGAATTAAACAATTAGGCACTTTAGTAGGACACATATATTTAAAAGAAAATATTTAGGTAAATTGTTGAACTGTTTTGTAGCGTTTTACGATAAAACCAAAATTATCTGATACGAAGAGCGGAAATGTGGAAAAAGCAACACTCGATCAGGGCCCGTCCCGCACAGTGGGTTCGAGGGCGCAATCCAAAACGTCAAAATGTAACATAAATTCAATCTCCTACTCCGTCTCCATTTTTATTGTTTAACTTAGTCTACTTAAATCAGCTTAGCAGTTAGATACATTTTATTTGTTTCAATTCAATTATCCGTAATTTATTCTAATGATTTTGATTTCGTTTATTTTTTCTCTCTTATATGTGTGTGTGCGCGTTTTCTTTTTATTTATTCCTAACTCTAGCCGCTTGGATTTTGACTCCCTCTGTCTCTCTCACTCTCCTTCGGCTGCCAGCTGGGAATCCACAGAGCAAAGGGGAAAACAAAGTTAGCAAAAAAAAAAACGAGAGGACCGCAGCCAAGCTCCTCGAATCGAATGTAGTTAGTTTTCCAAACCTGTGTTCATTGTAGAAAAAGAACCCCCTGCGACTCACCCTGCGTTCGTGCATCAATGGAAATTTTCTTACGAAAGGGAACTAGTTTTTTTACTCGTATAAATCTTACAGTGCAGTATTACTGATTTTTTGTTTTTGTTTTTTGCTCGTTTACATTTAAGGACAAGGAGGAATCCTGTTTTTATTATTATACACTTGCGTCTAGTTCTTTGTATTTTTGCGTGCCTCAGCTTTTTTTACACTATGATGAAACAAAACAAACACTATATGTCTGTAGAAAGTATCTCATGTTAACATGTAAGGCAAGCAAGTCGTCATATTTCTGTGTGTGTTTTTGCTACATATTACTCATTTTTACCCCATTTTTTTTTTGGATAGTTAGTGTTTAGCAGTATCACTTTTAGTTATCTCATTTTTTATTATTGTATTTTTATATATAAAAGTAAACCTATTATTATTTTGATATATTATTATTGTGCATTTAGAAAAGCGATCACCTTTTTAAATTAATATTATACACCTTTGTTGGTTATGTTGATTTTTGTTTTGTTAAATTATTACACTTAAGTTTTTGAGTTTAACGAGTTTTGACACAACCCTATACTTGTGTATTGTAAAGTTGCGGGAAGAGAGCGAACGCATACAATTGTATATTTTTTAAAGCAACGAAATTTGAGCAATCCGTAAACTGTAAGATCATCAACACAAGATAGACACAAGCATTTATAAGAAAGAAGAACGAAATACAACACAAAAATCGTGAAAACACATCAACAAGTATGTTTTTTTCTTGGGTTTAAGAGCAAACGACAAACTTAAAGACAACAAGCAAAAACTAGCACCCAGGCGGGAGGCGGAAATCAAACGATTCCACGTGATCTACTCGAAATCGAATCAACTGCCAACTGCCAACACTGTTTGGATATGGGCTCACGTGGAATCCGTTTCGATTTCCGTCCGAGGTCCTGGAAATTGTTTTAATTTTTATTAGAAATAAACTAGAAAGTTACTTACTTTTTTGATTATTTTTAAATTATATACTATTCGATGATTTATTAACAAAATAATTGAAAAAAATACACAAAAATAAAAGAATGAGTTGTTTAGATAAAATTTCAAACGATTTTTTATTTTATCACTGAACAAAAAAACAAAACAAACCAAAGCTTATAATTTTTTTATGCTAACTAACACTCACATCACATCAGCATCACCACCGCCATCATTATCTCAACTAACTCAAATTTCTTTACTCTAAAAAATATACCACTACTACTAACCCAAGCAACAATCACAAACTCACTAACTCTCAAAAACTTGCGTGTACAGGGTCTTACTTTTCGCCCCCTCTCCATTTGTCCGACCGTTTTCGTTGATACTAACCTGATCTAACAAAAATGTCTTTTCGCTTTCACTTCGTCTTCTTCCGACTCGTACTGAACTGTGTGGAGCTGATGGGGATAGCTGCGAGGTCTTTCGGGCAGCGGCGTAGCATGACAGCATGAGTTCAATTCCTGCCGATGGCATGAGGTTCTTTTTTTCTATCCTGTTTACCTAGTTGAAGGGTTCAGTCTTTGCTTGTATTGATTCCTATTGTACGATTGGATTATTACAGAGTAACGTTATTCGTTAGTTGGAAAGAAAGAAAGAAACACTGTAATCAGGAACGCATCTGTCCCCGTCTGACTGACAAGGTAGGACTTGTTGGTTCGGTAGGAAAATTCTCCAACTGGCAGCAACAATGTGTTTGCAAACCAAAAAACACCATCCAAAAGCATTTATGGACACAGCTTAGTAGATAGGAAGATTTCAATGAATCGCTGATTCAACTAATGTTTCATTGCATGCAAAGTAGTGGTGAATCAATTTTTTAACGAATAAGAAAAAGGCAAAATTTAAATTACGACTTTTTATCATAACTCAAAATTGAAATTCGAATGCTATTATTTTTTGTATCGCTGACAACAGTGAAATTTCTCTAACTAAACGTTTGAAGTTCATTTTAACTACCAATCAATCCTTTAAGTAGGAAGTAACCTCAATAAATACATCGTCAAATTTCAGGCTTGTAGGAACATGCCAAATCGGCACACTTATGGTGAATTCCGTCCTAAGCGATATTCCACGCGCGGAGCGAGATTTTGCGAAGGTACAAGACAGAGAGAAAAGAAGTAGTTGTCTCTCTCATACCAACACAAATTTTGCTCCGCTCTACTAATGCACGCTTCGATCTGAATACACCATTAATGCTTAGAAGAATTTAGTAAATTATCTTGCCCTGTGGGTTAGGCAGCCCTCATCTCAAGTGAGCGGTGAGAGAAACAAATAAAAATGATAAAAACTCAAAAGAGACGGAGCGAACTGAACCAGAAGAATGATTTGGCGCTCTCTGTGAGGCTCTTACTAACGTCACTTCCAATCGCAATGGCGTCCGAGAAAAGTTGTTGAATCCTTTTAAAAAAACATACATGGTAAAAAAATCAGATAATTTTGGGTTGAAAATAAAAATAAAAGTGTTTAAATCATGAATAACAAGAAAACATTACCCTCTTCAATGTTTGTTTAATATTTTTCAATAAAACGCTTACAAAAAAAGCTATCTTCTTTGAACATTTCAAGTAGGACACTAACAAATTTACAAAAACCATAGAACAAATACTTTTGAACGAATACACGAACCAGCCCAAGGCTGAAAGTCTCTTAATAAAGAAAAAAAAAAAAAAAAAACTTTTGGACGAATGTTTGTGAAATTTTGCACAGAAAACCATTGTGACTTTTGTGTAAACAAAAAGTCCAAACATTTGATCAAAAGTTGATGTTCAATGATTTTGTTAATTTTTAAGTGTCCAACTTATAATTTTCTCATAAGAAGGCATTTTTCATAAGCATTCTAATGAAACTCATTCAAAAAATATTGAAGTGGGTAATTTTTTTGTTACTTAAGTTTTAATTACTTTTTTGGATGTTATGCTTATGCATAAGCATCTTTCATACCCTCCGATAAGTCCAGACATACTTGAAAAATATAACGGAAATATCGGTATCCAAAACGGAAATATTGAAAACCTTTGTGAGGCATCTGAAAATTCTAGTTGCATTATTAAACATTCTACAAACTAATTTTTATTCATTTTATAAATAGGATTCTCAACTTATAACTAACTTTTTTAGATGCCACAGAAATGCTTAGTGCTCAGCTGAAAAGATCCTTGAAGTGTTCAAATGCCATGAACTGGTCTTGAGATAAGCTTCCAAGGGAAGAAAATGAAAGAAATGTTCAGTTTATTTCGAAACTGTGTTAGAAAGAAATACGTTCTGGAGGATCTAATGATTACAAGAAAGGATTTTAAAGTAGAATCCTTTAAAGGAGCTCAATCAATGCCTCGAATGATTCACTGCACATTGAATTCAAATCATAATTATTTCTTTAAGAGCTGGTACATTCCGTTAAAATTCCAAAGAATCAGCTAGTATTTTAAGAACCATTTAACGAGCTCAATCATTTGAATCTTTCTCCTGGAAGATGATTCAAAAAATAAACCCCTGGCAACCACAATGTCTTCCATCCAGACATCCATCCAGAAAATGTAAGATTCTGCTATACATAGATTTGTGTAGATAATATACATAATCTGTAACGAATTACTGCATATACAGATTCCGTAATATGATAATTGAAAGACCTTTGAAATAATATTATACAATGAATGAAAGCAGAAGTTTTTACAGCCAGCAATATACTGAATCTAGAAAATTATCTTGATACTGTTTTGTTCAGAAATATTTATTAATATTAATGGGGTTAATTTTGAATTTGAACTTTTGGTAACACTATGAGCATCAGAAAACCGTGTTTCTGGTAGCCTTATTTGATGCTTTGTTTTGATTCTGCGTTCCGTTTCACAATGTTCCATTTCGCTTTACTCCATTCCATGTGCTAAAGTCTGAGCGAGTTTTAGTTTGCACGGTGTGCAGATTAGTGGGGTTCGAACTAAAAAGTATACAGATTAAAAACGGCCAGATTTCCGGGGGCCACGGTATGCCTTTTGATCAGGGCCCTGCAGGGGTGTGCTAAACTCTTCTTGCGAGAATCGAGAATGAAAGTAACACTGTTTTACCCCTCATGAGATTCCAAGAACACATTTAGCTGAGTTTTCAAATGCTCCACAAAGCACAGCGCCCTTGCACGTAGACTCGGAGCTGATAGCAGTTGAACGAATAAATCAGGAGAGAAACTAAAAGAATGTTAAAAACGTTCATAGGCGAGTGTAAATCCGATTGGGGGCTAACATACTGAACGGTTACGATCTGGATTGGGTGAGTGAGTGTCCATGCAATTACCAGTTTCAGAATTGAAAGCTAAATTATAAGCAAGAATGAAAACCTAACGCTTTTCCCCCTATAGATTCCATGCCATTTTTCCAGTCTATGTTTGTAACACACACATACTGGAACATCTATCGGTGGAAAACAAAATGCGTTAGCGATGTTGAAGATTTATCGCTTTTCGGTCATTCTCATCATCGTACTGAGAGAAGCTCTCGCTCCGAGTGCCGAGTGCTACATATTTTGTAGATCATAGATTGTCACTGGTGAGTGTCATTTTTTCCAGTTAGTTTATTTGTTAGATGTCCAAAAAGACTCCACGGAGCCGAGAACCATGAAAGTGTTATTCGCCATGGATTCTATTTTGTCACTTCGTGGTACATCATTTGAGTATCGATGGTAAATTATTGCGATGGCATTGAAATTTCTTCTTATTCATAGTCACCAATCTTTTGGTATATTGTTCAATAAACGGGCCTTGCTACAGTTGAATTTGAAGTAAATTTTGAAGAAAATTGAAGAAATTCTTCTCAAATTTGAGTTAGTCTCAGCGGCCATGGGCCTGAATCATTCATAGGTTATCTTTTGAAAAAGATCGCTGAAAGAGATTCAAGAACTTCTTTACCCAAAGAAAACCTACGTTTTGAGATTTACAGATCAAGTTTCAGTAAACAGTTTGTAATAATTTTTGATCAAAATCAAAAATTGAATAAACTGAACGCGATCCCCATTACGAGCATGCAATGACAGCCGTCCAATGTTTCATCACTGTTTCAGATTTTCTCACAACAATTTTGACTCTTTCCACTCCGTCTGGAGTCTTCGCTTTCCTATCGCCTTTCGAGTGCGATATCAGTTTTTTGCTCCATTCCAAAATCCAGCTGAATAAACATGAAGCAGATGCGCAACCCTCACACGCTTGCCTCTTTGCCTTGGTGGCCTTCAATACCACTCTCGGAACTACAGCACCATACTAAGCGCACCATACCAACGACACGAATTTTATTTGTATTTGGTGGTGATATTGCCGATATGTGCAATAACTGACCATTCCTGTAATAAATTACCGTCTCACGGTCGCATTTCGCCAGCCCATCAGATCAGTAGCACAGAGGTAACCGGACCTCCACCGGGGGACTGACAGACCGGCAGACTGAAGACTTCGACGAAACCGGCCCGTCAATATGTGCTGTTACAGCGATTCAAATTTCGCGTCACCAATCAACATTTGATCATCGTCACTCGGCGGAATGTTGGTCAATCCATTCGTACCCGAATCAGCTGGTTTTTGCCTACACAAATGCTTTGTCGCCGCTCTCTTTCATTTCTTCTCCGAAATCGGGGTGGAGGCCACCGCACCCCACATCTCACCCCAGTGCCGGAAGGGTAAGTGTGAAAAGTCATATTACAAATTGTTCGCTTCGATAATAGGGGAATGTGGGTTGAAAGCGCTCGAAATTAAAGAAGATCGACGAAATTCAAACAACACTCTCCCCTAAACATTTAATTCCCACCGCACGAGGCGGGTTTTGAGTGGGCAATGCCGCAAACGTAGCTCTATTACTTTCCGCGCTGGCAGAGTCAAGGGGTCTAACAGAGTTAGCAGCCGTCCCACTCCAGTCGATTTCAGTTTGACTGATTGAGTCACCCCACGTGGCGGCATGTGTTGTTTAATTTCACAGAAGCCACGCGCAATTTGTACTAAGTAAAACTTCATACACTTGGCTTGTCGTCTCCAGTTAGTAGTAGGTCTCTAAGGCGTGGTATCCAAGACGAAGACGACGACG